ATATCAAGTTTCGAAAGAAAATCCACGATCATAAAAGTATTAATTATTATTATTGTTTTATATAAATAAGCTTACAAATCAAAATAAATAAGATTTATGAATCACTAATTTCGAAATAAATACATCACTAATTTATTTCGAAATCAAAAACTTGAAACTTACACAGTTGAATCAATGAATATCAGGCGCATACTGGGAGAAAGGTTTCCCATTAGTCTGCCATAGATCCGCCAAATACCTGCTGAATATCAGCAGTATGTTGGCAGCATGTTGGTAAGATATCAGGAGGTAGGTTGATATCAGCAACATAACAGTAAAATATTATGATACCCCGAGGGTATCCCAATATTGCGCTTATGTTACTGATATTGATCTACCGCCTGATATCTTAGGTATTTGGCAGATCTACGGCAGACTATCGGGCACATATCAGGAAACTTGTCTCCTGGTATGCACCCGATATTCATTGACTCAACCTGTGTTAGTTCTGAATCACCCTATTGAATGATTTCTTATTATTCTAAATCGAGACCATTTTACATTATTTCACTTAACCCGATTCAGGGTTTGAAATGAAATGATCGACATTTTGTATTTTGTCACTCACCTAAATAGATCAGTGCCAGTTTCTGGGGTCTACTCAAAGTTATTTCTACTATACGACAGTTTACACATGGGATGATGCCTTGCTATCACGTGCTTACCAGCTTTGCCTAGGATCAATACTTTCAGTATTTACTTTGTGGAGGAATGTTAGTGTGGCATATTTAGAAACCAGGGTCGAGGCTCAATGGTCTGAAAAGGTCGAGCTACAGAATGTTTCCTCATAATGCATTTGGCCCGGTAGGTCTAGCTGCAATCAAAAATTCCTATCAGGATTAAATTATTAATGGAATACTAATTTCCTATGTATACTAAGTTTAAGCAAGAAGGTGGAGTTAATGAATCTTACAAATGCATTTGATCCATTAGATCAAGCTGCAACTATAAACAAGGGGCTACTATCCAAGATTAAATAGTACGAAGTAATCTTACAAATGCATTTGATCATTAGATCAAGCTGCAACTATAAACAAGAGGCTACTATCCAAGATTAAATAGTACGAAGTAATCTTACAAATGCATTTGATCCGATAGATCAAGCTGCAACTATAAACAAGGGCTACTATTCAAGATTAAATAGTACGAAGTAATCTTACAAATGCATTTGATCCGTTAGATCAAGCTGCAATTGTAAACAAGGGGCTACTATCCAAGATTAAATAGTACAAAGTAATCTTACAAATGCATTAGATCCATTAGATCAAGCTGCAACTATAAATAAGGGGCTATTATCTAAGATTAAATAGTACGAAGTAATAATTCCATGAAGCTGCATGCTATGGGGGAGGGCTCGATTAAGCTAGACTTTTAAGTCGAGCACAGCAAAGCATAAAACTGTAAAACATCAAAACAATTGTAAGCCTATAAATAATTTACTAGTGATCGTCACCTGACTTGAACTCGGTATTAGTGACGATTGGATTGCCGCAACTGGATTGAATTCTTTAAAGAATAATTGCGAACGTATTATATGTTCAGAACTTATTGATAAAATAAAATACCAAAATTACGGCATCATTTGATTTAATTATCTGACTCAATCACCGAAAGTTTTGAGCTCAGAAAGATATATATATATCCTGTGTTTTACAAATGAAGATTTATTTACCGAAACACAAATTACGATCCTAGTTAGCGAATGTATAAGTAAACTGAATACGTACAGTACAATGTCGTTCCGTTGCCTGCACACGTGATGTAGATCACTTAAAATTCAAGATACAATCGTTCGTTAATATGAGGATGGTAGAAATAAACTGATGCCATGTAACTAGAGATCTGACTCGCAAAATATAATGACTTCATCCTCACGCAAATTATTCATCATAAAACTCAGTAGTTAGTGATTGTGGTAATTTATATTAAAGCATATGAATCTGCTGAACTCAGAATTTTGCCTTGGATGACGACACTTGCACCTCATGCGAAGTCATATGATCTGTAGAATGTATACCCATCTCTACATTTATATTTAAATAGAAGTAGCTACTTTCTCACATCAAATTTTGACAAGTCATTGCTTGTTATTGTCATAAACCGGCCTACTACCATCTCTTACTACACTGAAAAAAGTCCTGTATATAAATCTGAAATTTTTTTATCAAATCGTCTTGCTTGTTAAGTTGTTCGTAGGGCGGTTTCTGTATCTTATTACGCTCTACCTTTGTTATAGCGGAACCCCATTATAACAGAGTAATTCTCCAGAATATTTTTATACTCATGTATATTATGCAATATTATACATTTCTACGTAAATTTGAATTCTTTACTCGAAAACGTATAATGTAAAACCTGTTAACTAATTATACCCAAATTTAAAGAAAATAGAAATGACACTTTGAACAATTTTCCCTGGTAGATAAAACTTCGATTCACTTAAATTATATACTCATACAATAGAACGATTCATTACATTACACATGCCTATCTTGTATCTTAAAATGTACCCATGATATCCAACTGAATAACTTTATAATTTAAAGGGTAATTATTAAATTTAATTTTAATCAATTTACCAAATTCCTTTTCCTTATGAGTTATATGCTTAACCTTTTTTTTTTTTGAACATAGGTTTCTGGCCGCCTTTTACTGTATAGTATATAGTATGAATGTTCACTTCATATGAAAAGTAAAAATTAACAAGATTTTTTGTATTAGGAACACAAAATCACGAATGTAGAAAATTTACTTAAATAAACATGTTAATTCCGAATGAAAAAAAACTTAAATATACAACATATTACACTATACTAAATGAAAAGTGATCTTTACAATTTTTTTGATTTTTAGATATTGTAAAAATAATATTTAAAGAAAGAGAAATGATGTGTAGAGTTAGTTAAGAAGTATGATCAGAATAGGTGAACAAAATAAATAAGATCACACTAATTAATAATGGAAAGAAAGGTAATATAGTTTAAATGCATAACACATAAAAGTAACCTTTGAATAAAGTTATAAATATATATATAGTTCACTATACTTTTTGATAGAGGTGCAATGCCTTACCAGAAAGATGCAACCTCAACAAAAATCTTTTTAAAAAAGGGAGGTTGCACATTCCCTGAACACATATCATAAAATGCAACTAATAAGAAGGTCTGAAAATTGATATTTAAATATTTATAGAAAAAAAAAGAAAACAATCCTATGAAAGGACATTATAAAATGTAGCAGTTGCAACTACTACTTGCTGATGCATATGGATCGTCACGTCTATCGACGGATCCCCAAACTGATGGAACCAAGAAATCTCTAGTATTTCGACAATACCGAATTAAACTTGAGTAGTTAACCATTAAAGAAAAATAAAATTAGTCACTATCATTTAAATTTCAAAGATTATTAAAACGACTAACCTATCACTGGCTTCGCTAACACGTATTCGTGGAAAATCTAGTTCTCTGCGAAGCCTTAGATTATATTCCGCTAAACGTTGAAGTTTAGTCTCTTGTAATGATTGTTGCTTTTGTTGCTTATATTTGTTCATCTTGATGTATTACGAATTACAAATTCGTTGGTAGCAGTATAGAAAATAAGATATAGGGAATTTTTACCTATAAATATATAATAGCGTTAAAATTTGACTAGTCTAATTGAGCTTCGTAATCATTTAGAAATTAGTTAAGTTAGTTAAAATCGGATAAATACCTTCAATACTAATAACCTTTTTTAAAAGCTATGCGTTTATATATATATATATCAAAGTTTTCAAAACGTTGAAAGTTAGCAAAGAATAAATAAATAAAAAAATGAATTTTTTTTTTTTTTACTTAGTAAAAAGTGATTAAAACCCACCGAAGGAATGAACCGGTCTGTCAAAAGGTAAAAAAGGAAGTTTGCTAACTAATTTTTGAATAAACAGATAAAATTTCGTAATCTCTGGGTTTATCTCCCTTTTTTTGTGAATCAAATGAATAGGTAGTACAACCCATTAATTACTAAGTAATCGGTCATGGGTGTTGGACAAATTTACAATGCTAACACCAAAGACTGAATTAGTATTATGTACTAAAAAGTAAACAAATATAACTGGATTTATAAATGATTTGTGAGTAGTCCGGCAATCGGGTGACACAATCCTTATTTTATCATTAGATCAGTTATACAAATTAAAAATTTATTTTAAATGTACCTGCCAAAAAGTTTCCGAACATGCATTTATTCGATGCAATAACTAAATGGAGAAATTTTTCAATCCCTATGGAACCGATAAATTGGCTTAGTAATAACAAAAACAATACCTTGGATCGTTTAGTATTGTGCACGTATAGTCCAAGTTATTGCTGATTATTATTATTATTCCTGTAATCTAGATATTGTGATCGGATTAATAGTAATTTTGATATCAACAATAAGAACATATAAAGTTCAAACGAATCAAGGATTAATTTCTTACTAATTTTGCGGCATTAAAGCTTATGGCAGAAGTAATTGCATTAAATTGCCTTGCATTTAAATTTTAAACTGAATTACTGCATTACTTTAATACTGCATTGTCGTAATGCAATAACGCATCAATTCATTGCCGTCTTGCAGCATCATCACAATGCAGCATTACCTCAATGTAATATGATGCAATGCCGCAACTAGTGATGCAAACAGTTCTACATGACCATAAGCCGATCGGCTTAGCTGAGCTCGGCTAACTAACGCTTCGGCTTGTGTTACGTGAGCCGGTGTTATGCGCAAATTTTATTTTTAGTTAGTGCCGTATTATTCTATCATCATTTTATGTACTTCTTATTGTAGTATAGTTTGTGGCATAGTTGGGTGAATAAAGCCCCGAACGAGGGTTAATAACAACCAATTCGTATATCTATAAGCGATAAATCACGATTTTAATTTTATTATGATTTAAAAACTTAAGATATTATTAGATTTAAATAAAAAAAAATAAAACATTACATGTTTGCGCGCAATGAAATTTATCCCACTAAAGAAAATTATATTCCACTGAGTATTTCATAGCTTGAAATGTTTTTAAATTATTACATAATTCTTTTTTTGAAAAATCACTATTCCAAATAGAAGGTATTTGAAATACGTCCACTCCATGTTTTTCTTAATGTTTTTGCATTTCGAATTCTTTACCTAAAAAAATATAAATAAATAACACCTTTTAAGTATTGCTTTCAGTTCAATTGCTTTGTTAATCATAGATACTTCACTAGTTTATGAATCATATATTCGTCCAAATTTGAATCGTGCTTATTGAAATGTATCCATCTCTTGCTCAAAAAGTTTGACAACTTTATTTGCAATTGCAGTGTATCGTTCGTGCTGATCTTGTTCTATCTCCAAGGGAATTTCATTAATCCATGTACTTAAATTAATTTATTCAAAATAAACCTATGAATACTTTCAAATTATTATTAATATATCCATGCTTACAAGAGTTTGCTAAATTATGTCCTAGTATTTTCCACATCAAGCACATTGTCTTCACCAAGTTATCGGCATTACTTTCTTCATGCTTTCGTTTTTTACTATCTCTAAAACGTACTAAACATTCGGAACAAGTCTTATTTCCTCGAAAAGCTTTTAAAGCTTCATACTTTCGACACGATTTGCAAAAAGGATTCATAAAATAAGAAAAAATTTTTATCGTACAAAAAGATTTGTACATTGATTTGTATCGTTAAAAACTAATACTGTATATTGATTTTGATATGTAATAATTACAAAATTATCTGTCATACAAAAACGAATTATCGGAAATTTTAATTTATGTGCCACGGCGTAAATGATTCTTGGGCGATGCGTCGGTTAATAACCCTCAGCGAGGGATTAAAACCTCATACGAATTAAAGATATATAAGGATGTAGTTTCAGTATATGAAGGGAAGAACGGTTGTAAGACGGTTGTAGAATGATTATTAACGATTGTAGATAGTATTTAGTATTATGATAATCCGATGTATTGATTTATGTTAATAAAGAGAAACCTTAACCTGTAATTGTGTGTTATTTTACCGATTTAAACCATTTAACCTTAACCCCTATTTATCCACGATTGATGCTAAAATAGCCCAAGACCCTATAAGCTCTCCCACCGGTCGTAACACCGGTTTCAGAGACGTGAGCCGATTAATGACTATAATATGAGTGTCGCCAAAAGAAAACTTGAAATTGTCGTATTTTCTTTTGGAGACACTCATATGTCGTAACCACTATCACTATAGTAACTGTTATAATATAATAAACTTTCGTATTTATAATGAACTATAACAGTATGGCATAATATTTTGTAAACTATTTGTTATAAAATTTTTTTTTTCTTTTTGGTATTAATTCCCCAAATAAGACACTTTGCAAGAAACTTTTGAGGATGAGCGCACTCAATATTTGAATGAAGTTATTTTACCAGTGAATGTTAATCCACTGGAGCGGTGGAAACTTAACAGCTTTCGCTTTCCGAATGGGCAAGAATTTTCTCGAAATTCAGACAACTTCGGTACCTTCTAAACAAACAATTTCAAAGGCAGGGGCACAGTTCAGGTTAAACGTGTACGCCTTTCTGAAAAAAGCGTACAAGCTCTTATGCAGACCAGTAATAGCGATATTAAATATTCTATCATTAGGATTTGGATAAATATTTTTGAGATTTGGGTAAACGTTTGAAATTTAGAAAAAAATTTGTATTGAGTTTTAGTAAAACAAAAAAAAATAATAATAAGAGTGATTAGGCCACGCAAAGTTGATTTTTCGTTTTGCATTACCCGCCGTCCCATTTTTTCAATTTTTCAAAAAAAATTTTTTTTTTTTTTTTTTTAGATCCCAATTATGCCAATTGTTCGATTTTTGACACCTATTTTTTCCCGCTATTCTCATCCGGTATCACCCGAAGGAGACCTTAATTTCCCGTAATTGTCCGATAGGATTGACAGGAAAAATATGACTGCCGGCACAATTTTCCTTGTTGTGAAAATATAACCTTAAATGTGATCGTTATTCTATTTGCAGTAAATTGAATTGAAAAAAAAAAAATGCAAAAAAAAAAAAAAAAAAAAATCCGTCCGTCCGTCCCTAATTTTGAAGTCCATGTAATGCAAAACGAAAAATCAACTTTGCGTGGCCTTAGTTATAAATTTCTTTAATACTAGTATTTACGTATTATTTACTAATTGAATTATTGAACTACAATAAAGGCCAATAGTAAATGGCTAATACAAAAATCTTTCAAATACTGTAACAGATTAAAATGAGTTCAAATTAAAATAAAAGTTTGCTATTTTGCTACTAATAGAAAGTATAAATGTCTTCTAATGGATAAAAGAAGACATAATTTCGGTTTAATCACTAAATAAATCATATTACCACATTAATAATTACCAACATTTTTTAATAATCAATATTCTCAGAAATAAAAAGATTTTGCGCAGCAGAATCTAAAAAACCAAATAAAATCAATAACAAAAACTAAGCAATATGTAAGCATAATTACTTGCCATAACTTCCTGAAAATTGTGCATGCGGAACAAATGATGAATTAAGCGGATTAGAAAGATTTTGGAAGTTTAGAAGTTTGCTTGTAAGTTTAGCTTGTGAATAATTTAGCACAGTTGTTAATAATTTTGGAATGGTCAGATCTGCAGATTCGAATTCTTCCTTTATCACTGGTCCATTTTTGAACATTTTGGCGTAATTGCTTATCATATTAAACCAAATGTTTAATTTAGTAATGTATGTCAGATGCAGTTGGTCTACTAGGAGAATTAGCATCCATACATTGATTTGCTAATTGAATGTAGCATTCAGGTGTGCCTTCAGCAAACTCAGGACGTAATCCATTAAATATTTTAATAGCTAGATTTTCATCATAATCAATATCATGATGCGGTGGTTTCCCTGTGGAAACTTCAGCCATAATAGCTCCAAAACTATAAATATCTGCCGTTGTGGTATAAGGTCGTTTGTTTAATACTTCTGGCGCGATATATGGTAATACTCCATAAACCCCTTCTAAATATGATTCTTCATTCTTTCTAGATAATCCTAAATCTGCAATATAAAGCATTATATCATCTCTGGGATTTTGATATAGTAATATGTTACCACTGTGAAAATCCCCATGAACATATCCTGCTTCATGTATTTGTGCTAAATCTTTTGATATATCTATAAGTAGCTTCAATTTAGTTTTCCAATTAAGTTGTCTAAAGTTTAATGTTAAATAATTACGAAAGCTTCCCATATTTGCATATTGAAATACCATTAAATATTCATTATTTGTGTTCTGAGTTAGTCCATATACTTCAAGTTCTTTACACACTGGCCTAAGCTTCATATAATTCTTAAACTAATGGCAGAAATGATATACAATTATGTTAATAAAATAAATAATATTATATCATAAATAAATAATTTAACGCACTTCTCTTAAAAAATTCTTTTGAGATCCAGGCAATGTTTTAAGTGCTACTGTAAATGATGTGTTGTTTCTTTTACCATCTAGCCACGTTGCTGAAAATACTGTTCCAAATCCTC